GTGGAGTAGGGGGGCTCGGGGAGGGGGGGGGGGAGCCGGGGGGGCGGAGGGATGGGGCTGGGGGTGCTCAGAGACTGTGGGGCGGGACAGGGGTGCAGCGGTTTGCGACACCCCAAATCAGGTTTGGGGCACATGTGCCTGCCGACAGACGTGCAAGCACAGCAGGAGATTTGGCAGCAGCAGGGTTAAGATGCTCAGCTGCAGAGCACAGATGTGGTTTCAGTCAATCGATAGCGAGAGGGGAAGAGCGAATCCAGCCCCAGATCAGACAGCGAAGAGATAACAAGCAGAGCTGGCACGAGGAGGAGATAAGAGCAGGGCTGGAGCCTCGGCAAGCAGCATGGCACAGCGGGGCCGCGGCAGCATGGCACGGCAGGGCCGCGGTGGCCAAAGGGCATCCTCTGCCACAGGGTGCAGGAGGCAACTCCAAAAACCTGTCACCGGCAGGCCAGAGGGACGGGGACCGTGTGAGGACAGCCACGTGCAGGGACAGGGAGGGACAAGGACCATGCAGGACAGCCGTGTGCAGGGACGGGGACCGTGCAAGCACAGCCGTGTGCGGCGATGGGGAGCGGGCAGGACGGCACACCCTGGGGCTCTCTCCCTACCGAGTAGTTCTCCTTCTTGGCCGTCATGTTGGGGTTGCGGTCGCTCCAGTCGAAGTTCACCTCCTCCTCCTCCTTCTCGTTCAGCCACATCAGCTCCTTGGTGGCAGCGCTGACGAAGCTGTGGAGGCTCTCCAGGTGCCGCAGCCGGGACTTGGAGGAGTTCTGGGGACGGGGTGCAGGGATGGACCATGTCTGCACCCTCCTCCCCGCGTGTCTTTGCCCCCTCATCCTCCTCCCCGCACATCTCCCCAGATCCTGCACCTCCTGCCCACGCATCTCCCCCACGTCCTGCACCTCCTGCCCACGCATCTCCCCCTGGTCCCGCACCTCCTGCCCACGCATCTCCCCCACGTCCCGCACCTCCTGCCCACCCATCTCCCCCGCGTCCTCCACCTCCTGCCCACGCC